GACAATGACAATAGGGGTACAGATGAGATGGGACAATGCCAATAGGGGTACAGATGAGATGGGACAATACTCACAGTGATACGAAGGGTGTAGAATTAGTACTCACAGAGTACAGAAGCGATGGCATTGATCCACACTATGTAGGGTATAGAGGGTGTAGAATCAATTCTCACAGTGGTACAGAAGCGATGACATGCGATCCACACTATAGAGGGTGTAGAATCAATGTTTATTATGCCTGATTAGTTTTATGTGAATCACAGGCTTTGGTGCTTGAAGGTCGCTGGATGGAGGAAACAGCACATTACGAACCAAACCCAATCTTAAAGAAATTCAGGGTAATGAGTCAGTTTGTTTAATTCTTGTCCTTARWGAACTCGGAAACAGCATTGACTGACCGCGTTAACAAKTGTYCGTTATAGCAGGAGYTGTTTTAGTCGGAATGTCTGTAGTGCTGGGTGATGTCAGCAAATGTTGACCAATRRTACTGTGTTTCTTAGGAAGTCACTGATCTACACACAAACTGGGAAAATGGTCATTTCTATATTGGTAAATACTATGACAGACTCATGTTAGCCTGTTTGGATGAAGAGAAAGCCAACAAGCTGTCTGGAGCGTAAGATTTGTGTCTTTTGATTTAGTTTTAGTTTTTCATTCATCCATTTGATCTCATTCCGTTAATCGTTTGTTCCCATGGCAGGCTCTCTGTATGCTCTTGTCTGTCTGTCTGTTTAACTGTATTTCAATGATATATAGCGACTTCATTCCATTCGTTATCAAACACTACGGTACCTCGCTGCAATATGGCAACAAGTTTATTTATCAATCAATGCCACGATTGCTGACAATATGGCTTGACTTTGGTGCTAAAGTACCTGATCAAGGTTTGTGTTTTCGTTTTTCGTAGAGTTTGTTTAATTTTATCTTGTTCTATCCATTAACGATAATATTTTTGTTGTAGGAAGATCAAAAGCTGCAGATAAGAGCGGTAAACGACAGAAACTACAAGACACCAACAAGGTGCACAATATTATTGATTGATCTTTCTASAAATGATTTCAGTTAATGTGCAATGATAGCAATTTGTCTTGGGCTCCCTTTATTTTAAGAATATGGCTGAGTTGACAGAGAAGCTTCCTGCTTACCAGTTCTTCACGGCYTTCTCACTCCTTATCTCAAGAATATGTCATCCAAACCAAAAAGTTGTTGACCAACTGGAGGTAATAAGCTGATCGTTTTCTCTCGACACCTTCTTGCTTCCATTGTCTACATCTTATTTACCTGGCATGTAATCGTGACGTGTAATCGACGGATTTCATTTCTTTTCCAGCAAATTCTGGCAAAGTTACTCGTAACCTATCCTCAGCAAGCAATATGGATGATGATGGCTGTTTCCAAGGTATTAACTGGCTAATGGTATTGTTTGTAATCATTGGTATTTAAACAGTTGTTTTYCAATTATAGTCATCATTTGCTACAAGAGTAAAGAGRTGYCGCAATATCTTCGATAAAGCCAAGTAGGATTTCAGTTTTGTTTGTGTCAATCTAATAAWTTACAGTTTTTTTATTCGTCTTCAATTTGTTTGGTCGATTTAGTCACAAACATGTTTTCTKTTGTAGGCATCAATCACCAGCCCTKGGTAAATTCATTAATGTAAGTATTAATGTACGTTGCTATAGTAACTGATTGAAATGATTCCAACAATCCTTTGTAATATAGGACGCTACRCGATTGGCTGATCAGTTATTGGAAGTCTGTAACAAAGGATTTAACAAGAATCTTGCCAGAGATAATAAGATGAGCATGAGCCATGACTTTGTTGTACTCAAGAGACTTGTCAGTGATGAGTAAGTCTTCCCTTCCCTTCTCCTTCCCATTATTTGTTTCATCCTTCCATCCTTGCGTAATACCCTCTTTTCTTCACTATTTCATTCTCGTGTAGTTAACGGTTCACTATTTTTGTTTCAGTGATTTTAGTCCTATCATYGTACCTCTTCAGACGTCTATGACCGTGACACTACCGTCGGGAGCTGGTACCCACCTAGACCATAATCCATTTCCTGATTCAGTGGCTTGTATTACGGGATTTGATGATACTGTAAGTATTGCCATTACACAAACCTGCGCGATAGATGGAGCATGCGTCGTAATAGGTCTACTACAGGCATAGTTTACACGACATGGTTTACACTGTTTCAGGTTGAAGTGTTGTCATCTCTACAACGACCTAAAAAGATAACAGTCAAAGGCAGCGATGGCAAGTCTTATATCATGATGTGCAAACCACGGGTAAAACAATTGTGCCAGTAATATAGTGTAGTGATGATAATGATGATGATGAATGATGATAATTTAATTGATGATATGATAAACACTACGATTGACGGATGGTAGAGGAGGAATGATAATCTGTTAAGACTCATTGTTATCTCATTCTCATATTTAAATGATAAAACGAAAAAAGGTAGAATGGTGTTGATTATGAATCATGTTCTCATTTCCGCTACAGGACGACTTAAGAAAAGACTCTCGTACTATGGAGTTCAACGGATTAATTAACAAGGTGACTACTTTCCTTTACTTCATCATATCCAGTCAATAAGGCATACTATAAGCATTCTTCTCTGCTTTGCATGCTTTATAATTGGGCTT